TAAATGTATGTAAATAAAAACACAAGAGTATGTAAAGAACTCATACGTAAATGTATGTAAATAAAAACACAAACCCAATTAAAAAATGGTTGAATAGACCGGTCTTCAAAGAAGATATGCAAATATCTAATAAGCAAATGAAAAGATGCTCAACATCATTACTCTCTTGGAAAATGTGAATTAAACCTACAATAAGACAGGACTTTACAATCAGTAGGCTATATTAAAAAAGACACAACAAAGGTTGGCAATGATAGGGAGAAATTGGAAACTGCCAACAGTTCTGGCAGGAATGTAAAATGGTACGGTTGCTATGGAAAACAGTTTCTCAAAAAGTTAGACATGTAGTTCTCATATGATCCAGCAATTCCTACCTTGGGGACATTCCCCCAAAGAATTGGCCTGTATGGGAATGTTCATAGCAGCATTGCTCGTAACAGCTCAATATTGGAAACAACCTAACTGTCCATCAACTGATGAATGGATAAACGAAGTGTGGGATATCCATAGAAAGGAATGTTCAGTCATAAAAAGGAATGAAGTACTGACCATGCTACAAGACAGATGAACCTTGAAAACATTATACTAAGTGAAAGAAGCCAGTTGCAAAAGGCCACAGATTAGCCTTTATGTGAAATGTCCAGAATAGGCAAATCCAGAGAGATAGGAAGTAGATTAGTGGTTGCTGTGGGAGGGAGGAATTGGAACGCATGGGTTTCTTTGTGGGGTGATGGAAATTTCTGGAAATAGTGGTGATGATCACACAACCTTGGGAATACTAAAAAACACTTGATTGTTCACATTAAAAGGGCAAATTTTATGTGTGGTATGTGAATTATATTTCAATTTCGTCAAAAGTAGAACTATGTGTCCTCACATATTCTATGCCAAGGAAGCTTCTTTACCTTGTAGATAATATAATTTAAAAATTATCAGAGCAGTATATGAAAACTACATGTTAAAACTACAATAAACTACAATAAAACTACAATAAAGACCTGAGGGTTTGCTGAAACTATTTTCCAAAACTGACAAATGGTGTAAACAATAGCTTCCATATCATATTTCTTCATTCAAAACCTTATTGAAATTTGTACTTCTCAATATATCATTGCTAAATTAAAAAAAATTTCTGTTGTACTACTATAAATCTGGGTTAAAATGTTTTTTAAAATATATAAATAAAGGGGTGCTTGGGTGGCTCAGTCAGTTAAGCGTCCAACTCTTGATCTTGGCTCAGGACATGATCTCACAGTTGTGAGAACGAGCCCCATGTCAGGTTCCATGCTGAGTGCTGAGTGTGGAGCCTGCTTAAGTTTCTCTCTCTCTCTCTCTCTCTCTCTCTCTCTCTCTCTCTCTCTCTGTCTTAGCCCCTCCCCTGCTTGTGCACTCAATCTCTCTCTCTCTCAAAAAATATATATAAATAAAAGTGGTATTTGTGTTAGTTTTTCATAATCATAGATCATGTATTTAATTTCAAAATACCCTATTTTTAACTGTTCAAAGATACATTTTTAAAATTAGACACTTTTGGGAGTGCCTGGGTGGCTCGTGTCTGTTAAGTGTCCAACTTGGGCTCAGGTCATGATTTCACAGTTCATGAGTTCAAGCCCCACGTTGGGCTCTGTGCTGACAGCTCAGAGCCTGGGACCTGCTTCAGATTCTGTGTCTCCCTCTCTCTACCCCTTGCCTGCTCATACTCTGTCTCTGTCTCTCTCAAAAATAAACATTAAAAAAATTAAAACTAGACACTTTTGGATTTGTTGCTTAGCATCAATTGGTATATTTTAGAATTAAATAGTATTGTATTGTAATTCATACAAATTAAGATAAAGTGAGAGGCTGTTTTCAGGGAACAGGACATATAATGTTATTTCAAAACTTCTGGAAAATATAGGAAAATATCTGTTTTACTGCAAACTAAAATTTTCATAATATTTTTCTTTAAAAGTATTTAAGGCAACAAGATATATACTTTGGTCTTAAAATCTTTAACTTTTTGATATAACTTTTTAATGCTGAAGTTTCCAGTTTTCTAAGATAACAAAGTCATTCCTTTTAAACAATTATCTTTCTTTTACTCCTTGAAACTAAATGCAGTTCAGTTGATTAGTTGATGCTAGAATTTGACCTGGAGCTTATATAATTAGAAGAGACACTAGTTTTCCTCATTTAAAAGCCTAGTTAGCATATGACAGTCTCGTTTCCGGGGAAGTCAAACCTCTCCTTTTTTTTTTTTTTTTTTTTTTTTTTTTTATATAACCTTTAAATTAATTTAGAATCCAGATAAGCCTTGATCTGAGGATGATATAACCACAGCAAGCAACATGGGGTAAGTGTGTGCTATTATGTGCTTTGAAAGGCATTGAGAGGGGAAATATTTTCATAAAAGAAGAAATCCCATAAATCCTTACTAATTTAGATTCAAACCATGCCAACATTTATTTAAGCTAGCTATTTAAAGAAATAACTATTTAAAAGTTCTAACAATTTGTAAAATATTCATATATTTTCTTGCTTAATGTTTAAATTATATCATTATCTGCCTTTGCAAGTTATCAACTAATGAAACATTTGGGGACTAAAGAGTTGCACGTTTACATATTAATCTGAAGCGGAATTAAATTTTGATAACAATCTTAAAGAAAAAAATGACAGGATTCTTGATTTACAAGGCAGATAAATCCAACATGTATATGCCTCTTTGGGACTAAGAATAACGAATAAAAAAGATTAGAAATGCCTTTTGTAACACATAAAAGAGACCAAAGATTCTATCAGAGTTCACTTCTCTATGTACAGAATAATGTGTGCTGATTAATTACACAGGGACATTAGAAACTTAATTCTAACTCTTTGTGGGGTTTTGGGAGCATGATGAGAAGAACTGGGTTTCACTTGAAAGCTTTCTATTCTTTACTTAAATGAGAATAGCATTCCATTATAATTAGTAGTGGAATTATATGTGTTTTTATATGCTAAAACTAGTATTCTGAAAATATAGAAATACATCTTTTTATTACCCTTTCGTCTTTTTAAATAGCTCCTTTCAATACAAAATTACATTGCTGCAAATGGTATAGCTATTTCATTGAAGGTACTTCTGAAGGATTTAACAGAAATGATCAGAAATTTATACTAGAGAAATCTTTTGACACGTTTATTCTAAACAGTTTCTATGAATTTAATTAATATCTACATTTTTGTTAATACCATGGACTCTGAAAATGCAATCTAAACCAGCCTGAAACTTCAGAGGCTTTTGAAAGGAAAATGATTATACTATTGTTAACTTTTAATACAAGTATCACATAAAAGTTAACAGGTAAATACTTTGTACAAATTTCACATACGTTTGGTTGATTTGATTTGGGACAGAACTGATGAGACTCCTTGTTTCTCTTTATTCCTCTTCCTTCCTTCTCTCTTCTCTGTATACAAGAGTGAATATCAATATAGCAGTAAACTAGTAAACTCCAAGCAATGGGCACACAAAAAAGTCTTCCTTTCTTCCTTCCTCTCTAAAAAAAAAATTGTAAAATCACACAAAATTTTGCAAACAGTATTAGGAGATTTACAGATGGTCTGAATTTTAATCTATGGACCCCAGGTTAAGAATCTTTGATTCTGAATTTAAGGACTGGAGCATGAGTTTCCCAATACTTTTCTCAGTTTCTGGATTTTTATAAAATATAAGAATCAATAATTCCTGCTAATCTTTTCTCAGGGACAATGTTGAAGGTACTGATTCTCCAACTGACCACCTCCTCACACACACACACACACACACACACACACACACACACACACACACACTTTACATGGGAATACAGTTTGTCCAATATCCATAGTTTGATAGTCACATTACTGCTGCTTGTCCCTAATGACTTGATTAATTGATTAATCATTTGTGCTTTCAAGAGTGCCAGAAATCACCTTGGGAACCATGGAAGAAAAAAATCCTCATTATTTTATCTGTAAGGTGCTTTCTTCTCAGTGCCCCAAATAAAATGAACTAAACCATGAATTGCTCAATATTACATAGGACACTCTTCTGATTATTTTGTTATCTGCTCCTCCCCTTATTGAGAAAGGAGAGGTAGTAAATATTAACACCCTTTTAAGTCTTCCTAAAATAATCAGAAAAATAAAAAGAGAAATTGGCAGCCGAGTAGATGCTCAAATTTGTTCATCTGAGGACATCTCTAGAATTTATCCCCTGGGAATGAGGAAGTAGTGCTTTAGGATTTCGTGGGGTGGAGGTTAGTTATCTCAAAGCTATTTGAGAATACAATGCGCTTATATGGGTCTGTGCCAGCTCTTTCCATGTTTCCTCAGGCTATGCTGGCATGGTTTTAAGCGAGCAAGGAAGAGGCAAATGTTAGCAAATTCTTATGTTCTCTAGAAAGCTTCCTCTTTCTCTTAAATTTTCACTGGATTCCTAATGGAATGTGTGGGTGGACGGGGTGGGTAGAGATGGCACGTAAGGGTGGTAAAGGGATAATTGGGGAGAAGTGGAAAAGCTTTACTGTGTAAGGTAGGCTGACACCTGCTATTCACCATAATACCTGGGCAGAGGATGAACAATGGGAAGGAAGGGATGATTGTATTTCTTTGCTAAGATACTTTTCAATACTCTTTCCCTATCTACCAGTTATTCATGCACTCCCCCATTGACATCTAAGGATAATAGAAGTTAAGGTTCTGATAAAATTGTAGAACCAGAAAGTTCATTATTACAGCATATTCAGCCTCCTTTTAGTTTAATTCAAATAAGTGTAATTTTAAAAATTTCTTAATGGGTATATTCTTCACATCTGACTCTGAGAATTACAATCCAAATCTTTTTCCTAGGCAACGTACACATTTAGCTCATGCAGTAATCTCTGAAATGTTGCTTCTGTGTCTTCCTGTCCTTTCTAATGGTTGCTTCTCTAATTCAGAGCATCTTTACCTCCTACTCTCTACTCACCGGCCTCTTTGCAGCTGGTATTTCCTCTGTCATGCCTTTTTTAGGAGGCATCTTCTTACTGAAGTCACATGATGGGCCTACTCTCTTGTTTAAAATCTTTCAGTGACTCCTCATTCTCTCTACCGAAGAGCAGGCTCCCAAAAAGATATTCATGGCCCTGTATCTGTCCTCAGTCTACCAGTCTAGTGTTTCCTCCTCCTCTACCCTTCACACTCCTTAGAATCTCCAGATGCACCTCTGCCTTGTGCCTTTCTACCTCTGTTCCTTTGCTGCTCCTCTTTTAACCATTTCTACATATTGTTCAAACCGCAGTTCAAATCCTATCTTCTTCATGAAATTTTCCATAATCCCCACAACTGGAACTCATCCTTTTTCCTGTGAAAGTTTTAGGCACCTTATATTTTTCTTCTTGCATTTCTTACTGCCCATCACATGCTGTAGTTACTCATGTGTCTCCTTGAAGGAGGAGTAATGTCACCTTTCTATTTCTCCTACTGCCTGGCACAGGGCTTTTTACATGATATGTCCTTAATAAATGCTTGCTCAATTGAAATGAACTATTTTCCCTTTAATCCACAAAAAGCTAAAAACGTAATTTTAGCCAAACTTCCTTCTTTCTTACCCAATAGAATGGCCCCATTTTTCAAGTTCCTATCTGAAGAGCTCAAATGAGTGTATAAAATTCAAAATGTGGGTGTTGCAAGGGAGGAAGGTAAAAACAAGGACTGGAGTGACACTTTAGAGGCTTCTGAAGAGTGGAGAATTCATTGTTAAGTAAGAAGGGACGCACAGGCTCAAAGGAGAGAAAACTTTCAAGAATTAAAAAAGCTTCTTGGTTTAAGACTATTTCCTAGAAGGCCAGCATCTCAATAAGTTTGGGTTCATCTGTATATGATGGAAAAGCAAAAGAATAGTGGCTTAAACAAGCTAGAAGTTTATCTTTTACGTTAAAAAAAAAAAAAAGCTCAGGGGTGCCCGGCTGGCTCAGTCAGGAGTCAAGAGTCAGTGACTCTTTCCTGCTTTGTCAAAGATTAGTTGGCCATACGTTTGTGGGTCTAGTTCTGGGGTTTCTATTCTATTCCATTGGTCTATGTGTCTGTTTTTGTGCCATACCATGCTGTCTTGATGATGACAGCTAAGAGTCAGTGACTCTTGATGACAGGGTTGTGAGTTCAAGCTGTACATCGGGCATGCAGCCTACTTAAAAAACAAAACAAAACAAAAAACAAACCCAGAGGTAGGCAATCCAAAGCTGTTAGAGCAGGTCCTTGTGGGAAGGATCCTGGTTCCTTTGATCCTGTTCTTCTGCTGTCTGTAGTGCCTCCCTCTTGGTCCAGAGGGTTGCTCAGACTTCCCTGGCTCATTTGCATTTGGACAGCAGGAAGGAAAAGTAGGAAGAAAAAGATGTGTTCTCTCTTTTGAGGAGACTTCTCAGAGATCACTGTCATTATTTCTACTACTTCAGGGGTAGAATCTATTCTTGTGGTTATACCTAGCAGTGAAGGAGAAGGGGGAATGTAGTTTTTTAACTGGGTTACTAAAGAAAAAGGAACACTGGGTGGCAATGAGCAGCATCTGACAGAGCAAATATCAGGCCTTACATTGTCCCTTATATTCCTTCAGGACAAAGAACAGCATTATGCCCAAAAAGGAACATTTTTGAAAATTTTTGTAATGTTTATTTATTTTTGAGAAAGAGAGACAGAGAGAGAGAGGAGGGGCAGAGAGAGAGGTAGACACAGAATCCGAAGCAGGATCCAGGCTCTGAGCTGTCAGCACAGAGCTCGATTGCGGGGCTCCAACCCACGAACCGCGAGATCATGACCTGAGCTGAAGTTGGACACTTAATCAACTGAGCCACCCAGCCTACCCCAAAAAGGATCATTTTAAGAAAATTTTCTGTAAAGTTAAAAGGAAAACAAAAGAGCAGACCAAGCTCGAAATAAACATAGAGTCTCTTTGGATATAGGAGCGAACCTTGACAAAATGATGACGGTGACAAAAAAAAAAAAAAAAAAAAACAGACAAAGGTGGCCAAGTAAGCCTCTGGTCCCCCAAGGGCCCACATTCCAGCCTCTGGCCCCCAACCTTCATCTCCTTTCATCCTCACATCTGCATTGTTATTGTTATTATGCCAATTATACAGATCAAGAAACCAACGCCCAGAAAGATTCTGTCACTTGGCCAAACTTCCCAAGGAGTTTCAGATAATGAAAAATAAATAGAACATATAGCTGGGTTGAAACCTGCTGTATTACTCAAAAAAAAAAAAAAAAACACCCATATACTCATAGGGTATTTTCCAAATGGGTTTCCACTTAATTTTAACCGTGGATCACCTCAATTAGCCCCAGCAGAAAAACCTATTACAAACCTATTCCACTTGTCACTTGAAGTAGGTGATTTCATTTAATGTGGGATGCTTAGGAAAATCTCTACATTTGTGGCTTTCATTATTTTAGGGTCAGATGAACTGCTCTGAATGTTGGAGTACTTCAGCTGATTTGAAATACATACAAATTTATTTTTATTAGTCAATAATAGTTGAGCTCATTTGTATTTGTCAATAATAGTTGCGTTAATAATAATAGTTGAGTGTCTCCTCAACACCAAGTGACTTAAAAATGGAAAGACTCAAAGAAACAAGAACTTTTACTTTCTACTTGATATGTTATTAAATGATTAGAATTTTTTAACAGCAATCTATTGAATATAAAATAAAAACCTTTAGTTATAAAATTATTAAAACAAAGGGTGGTATAAATTACAAGGTACCTATCATTATCAATGGCATTTTATTTCTTGTAGAACCTCTAGAAAAATCAGAAAGACTTCACAAAACATGGTGTGATGTCTACTGGTGGAGACAGGCCACGAGGTGAGTGAATATTTCAAAGAACCTGTTTCTAGTAACCACACAGATGAACGGAGAGCTTAGCTTAAACCAGTGTCCTTGTACTTTATTTATAAATGTAAATGTAAACATTTATAAATTTCTTAAGAATCTTGTAACTTCTCTTTGTTTAAAAACAAGCAAATATATCATGGGATTCCTTATTAGTTAGCAATCAGAGCTAACAGCCGCCTTATAAACCAGCCATGTTACATCAGACTTTTGCCAAATGTATGAATGCTTACAGTATTGAGACAATAGTGAACGATATTTTCATTGAGTTCTATTGTGGATGTCTTTGGGCAGGGCAAAAAAAAAAAAAAAATCAAAACACCTAAAGGACAACAAAATTTGCATTAAACTAATATTTACTGAGTCCCTACTTCATACTAGGCTTTGTAATGTGATAACTATGTGGGATAGGTAAGTATTAACCTCATGTTACAATTGAGGATGTGTAGGCTTATAAAGGGTAAGTAACATTCCCAGCGGCACAACACTAAATAAGTAGCAGATGTGCAATTTGAAGTTAGATGTCTCATGAACTTAAGGAGAAAGTCCTATGGTTTAAAACATTATTTTTAAGTTTCAAAACTAAAAAGCACACATTATAAAACAAACTTGATCAAGACAGAAGAACATAAGTATGAAAGCCCATCTCACCCCTAGCCCGTTCCCCTTTCCAAGCATAACCACTGCTACTAATTTGGCATAAATGTTTCTATATTTTTCCTTTTGACTAATGTACTTTTTACTGTATCACACTTCCTGTCTGCTTAAAAACATCGATGAATGGAGGAGGTTGAATTTACTATATATCTACAAATATAAACGTCTACCTCTAAATAGTAACTGAAATGTTGAGGTGCCTGGGTGGCTCAGTTGGTTATACAACCGACTCTTGATTTCAGCTCAGGTCATGATCTCGTGGTTTGTGAGTTGAAGCCCCACATAGGGCTGTGCACTGATGGCACGGAGCCTACTTGGGATTCTCTCTCTCCGTCCCTCTGCCCCTCCCCTGCTCCCCCCCCCAAATAAATAAATAAACATAAAAAAAATAACGGCAATGTTCATTCATCTAACGTTAGCCATCTAATTGTAGAGATTCAAAGAAGTATAGAACTGACTTTCTGATTCCTAGGGACTCTTAGTCTAGTGCAGTGTTCTTAGTTTGGTTGTGAGAGGGTAAATATGGACTTTGTTGAGAGTCTGATGTGAAGTCTGAATCTTCTCCCAGAAGAAAATGAACCCCCATAAAATTCTGCCTATAATTCAGGGGATTCATGGACACCCTGAGAGTATATGGGCCCTTGCCTTTTGTAGAAGTAAGATTTTTAAGTGAATACTTTCACATAAATACCATGTGAACATAGTATTTCTGTGGACAAAACCCTAAGGCAGCACAAAAAAAGCAAGGGCTTACCTTTAGCAAGGCATGTCAAGAAAGACAGGGAAGAGTGGTACTTGCACTGACTTTGACAGACACAAGGAGCTAACCCAGAGTAAGGGAAGGATGTCCACCGAGGAACAACTTTATAAAGCCCAGAGGCTAGAGAGGCTAGAAAAGACAGGGAACCACAAGACTGTCTCTGTGATAGGAGCCCTGACAGTGACTGACATAGAGGCCAGATGAAGGTAGAGGTCCACTGCATGAGGACGTCTGAACTTTAGGAGTCACTGAAGGATTCTGACTAAGATTTTCATAGGTAGGTAAGAAGCCTATAATTAATGTATGATTTAACAAATGAACATGGGAATAATAAGTTAGATGATAGAATAATAAGTTAGATGATAGAATAAGGTAGAAAAAAGAGAAAAGACCACTTGATTCAGACTTGTTGGAGGATCAGTGATGAAACCATATGCTATTAAAAAGATATGTTGCTAAAAATCAGATGGAATTCATTGCAAAGTCTTTGGTTTTGCAAAGGAGATTGGGAGAACGAAGCTCGGAGATGGTGTGTGTAAGATAAAACTCAAAATTTGGGCAGCAGTTTGCGCCCTCAATGCAGGGAGTCCCATGTAGAACCAGACTAGTGTCAGTCACTCAGGGTATATCACTCACTCCTGGTCTGCACACCCCCTGCCTTCTGCATGGACTCTAGTAACTCCTGGTGGACTGTTCACTTTCCTAGCAACTCTTCCACCCGCAAAGAGTAGCAAAGAGAGGAGGATAAAATCAGTTGGTTTCAGTATTTCTACACTGAGTATATGTATTTCTTTTATAATTATTTTTGTAATTTAGGTTTCAAAGTAATACAACTAGAGCAAGGCTTACAAATAATTCCATAGCTAGTTTATTTCTTTTTGACTCTACCTAACCTAATATACCCAGGTAAAAATCCATCTGTAGTCTCGCCTCCTACTGCTTGGCAGTGGCTTCATAACTGAGGAAAGACTATAATGTCTCAAGGATATTTACTTGATAAATATTTATTATTAATTAAAATTTTACTTATTAGATGCTGTAGGAGCTTTGAAGACTAAACTTACATATATATTGAATAGGCACTTTTGTGTGTATGATGGATCATATGTATATATGTTTTTTTTAATACAAAGAAGCATTTGGTCTTTGCCAAAGGGTAGTTGCTCCAAAAGATTTCCTGGTCCATATGTTTAGACAGTGAATTTATGTTAAAACAGAATTTATAATTTTAGGTAAAATAGCATTGACTTTTCCAGCTTGCCTTTTCTAGCTTATTAATTTAAAACAAAAATGTATCTCCTTGCTATTACTATGAATAAATAAAGTTCTGTACTGTTTTCTTTTTCCCTCAGCTTTAGTGAGGAATAACTGACAAATAAAATTGTAATGTATTTAACCAGCTGATTTGTTATATGTATATACAATGAAAGGATTTCCTCCATTGAGTTAAATAACACATCCATCACCTCACATATTTACCGTTTTTTTTGTTTTGCTTTGTTTTTTGTTTTTTTTTTGTGTTTTTTTTTTTTTGTGAGAACATTAAGTTCTACTCTCAGAAAATTTCAATTATAGGGGCACCTGGCTGACTTCGTAGGAAGAGCACCTGACTCTTGATCTCAGGGTTGTGGGTTCAAGTCCCATGTTGGTTATAGAGATTACTTAAATAAATAAACTTTAAAAATAAAAAGGAAAATTTCAACTATAAAATATAGTATTATTAATTATAGTCACTATGTTATACATTAGACCCTCAGACTTTATTCATCTTATAGCTGAGAGTTTGTACCCTTTTACCAATCTCTCCCTATTGTTGTTTGCTTTAGGGAAAAATAATCATTAACCATCAACATCCTCTGGAATTGAATTAAATTCAACTCAAACTTGTGTTGAGCATTCATCACAAAACATTCTCAAACTTCACGTCAGAGGAATGTGAACAAATAATATAAATGTATTCACCTTTAAAAGCCAAGCTAATTTTTGCATGCCCCTCTATAAAATATCTCAGCATTTAAGAATGTATATTTTTAAGTTGCTTACTGTTAAGTAAAATTGCCAAATAAGGAGATGATCTATATTTATCCTGAGGCTTAAAGTCCAGCTCTCTAGTTTGGTAAGAATTCACTGTACCCACTGGGTACAATGGATATGAATAAGAAATGGTCCCTGCCCTAGTGGGGCTGACAGTATCCCACGGGAATCAGACAGAGAGACTGTAGCCTACAATGCCTAGCAGGGAGAGATACTAACAGTATAGCGTGAGAATGTAGTAGAAGAGGGGTTGACTAAAGATGACTTGGAAGATCAGGGCAGGCTTCATAGGGAAAGGTGCTTGAATTGAGCCTTGAAGGATGAGAAATACTTCTTCAGGCAAGGAAAGATACTTGAAGCATAAAGAACGGGATAAACAAAGGTACAGAGCCAAGTGTTTGATGAATGCATGAACTGTGACCATCTACACATCTATACCACATATACTAACTACTATAATGTTTCATTTTAAATACTATGAAATAGAGAAACAAATCAAGTAAGTTCAACTGGTTCAGTTGATAGCTGCTACAAGTAGCAACATTATATCAGCTAGTGTCTGGTTGGCACAGGGACACATGGGGAGCCCCACCCATGCAGCCTCTCCAAGGTTCCAGACCAGAATGCTGGAAAGGATATGACGAGATTGTGATTTGCAGAGCCAATGAGCTAGAGTTAGTGAGAAGGGGCTCCTAAGATATAAAATTAAGGATCAAGACACCTGAGGCAGGCTAAAAATCTGATACTCATTCAAACGGATTTACTATCAATTTTCAACATTTGAATAAAGGACAAGCTGATTCCTTCATGGAGGAAGAGCGAAAAATGAGGCCCCTGAAGGGCATTACTTGGCCTCCCATCCAGAATCAATAGCAGCTCAGCTGCAGCCTCACTCTACAGCTCTCAGCAAAACATTTTACTAGGAAACCGTACTCACCTTTCTTAGAAGGCTTTTTGGTGACCATTTGTTGCTACTTAAGACTGCATCTAGGGGGCGCTTGACTCACTCAGTCAGTAGAACATGTGACTCTTAAATTCAGGGTCGTGAGTTCAAGCCCCAGGTTGGCTGTGGAAACTACTTAAAAAAAAAAAAAAAGAATTATGGGACGACTGGGTGGCTCAGTTGGTTAAGGCGTGGGATTTCAGCTCAGGTCATGATCTCATGGTTTGTGGGTTCAAGCCCCCCTCTCCTTTGACTCCGGTCGGGCTCTGTGCTGACAGCTCAGAGCCTGGAGCCTGCTTCAAATTCTGTGTCTCCCTCTCTCTGCCCCTCCCCTGCTCAAGCTCTATCTCTCTCGCTCTCTCAAAAATAAATAAAGATTAAAAAAATAAAAAAGATTAAAAAAAAAAAAGACTGCACATAGGACAGCCCATCACCCCCATCCCCAAACACACCCGCGTGCCCGTACCCACACACCCTCATAATGTTGATCAAGCATTCCTTTCAATCACACAGGATACTTTCCTTGAGAGAAGTCCTGACAAACATAGTTTTCTCCCTCTCCCATTTCCAGAGCTCTGT